AAGCATTTAGCGACTATCGGGGTGAGGGCCACTGGCCGATAGTCATTCAGACCAGTCACTGTAGAGCTTTTTGGGACTGGGATGATGGTGGCAGTCTTCAGGCAGGTGGGAACTGTCTCCAGGGTAAGTGAGGTGTTAAAGATGTCTGCCAGCACCTCACAGAGCTGATCAGCACATTCCTTCAACACTTTTCCGGGGATGTTGTCTGGGCCAGTTGCCTTGTGCGGATTAATCCTCCTGAAGGTACTCCTTACTTCTGCTGAGGTCACGCTGAGATGCTCTTCATCCGGTGGTGAGGTGAGTCTGGTGCTGGCTGGTCTGTTCGGGTCTTCAAAGCGTGCATAGAACTTGTTTAGGGCATTAGGCAGAGATGGGTCTTTGGGGCATTGTTCACTCCTTCCTTTATAATCTGTTATGCACTTAATGCCCCTCCACATGCTCTGAGGGTCTTGTGAGATGAATTGACCCTCGATCCTCTGTGCATATGTGCCCTTGGACCTCTTAATACCAGCAACCAGCTCTTTTCTTGTCCTACTCAGCTCCTCAGTTTCCAGACCTGAAGGCAGTGTTCCTGGCTTCCAGCAGAGTACGCACCTCTGCATTCAGCCAAGGTTTTCTGTTTGGGTAGCTTTTAACATTTCTGATAGTGGAGACGGTGTCAGTACATGTACTAATGTAACCCAGAACTGAGGATGTGTATTGGTCAAGATCAAGCGAACCTTTATTTTCAGCAGCTTCTCTGAAAACCTGCCAGTCTGTTCGATCAAAACAATCTCTCAGTATGGGGCCACTGGCCTGGATCCAGCATTTAACTTTCTTTTGTACCGGTCTGGAGCGTCTCAGCGGGGGCATGTAAGCAGGAGCCAGGAAGATTGAGATGTGGTCTGACAGTCCTAGGTGGGGGCGGGGTTCGGCTTTGTATGCATCTTTTACGTTCGTGTAAACACGGTCCAGCGTGTGGTCTCCACGTGTCGGAATTTTCACATGCTGATTAAAGCTTGGGAGACAGTCCTTTAGATTCACGTGGTTAAAGTCTCCGGCTACTACGTAAAGAGCCTCGGGGTGTTTGTTCTGCAGCGAGCTGATGATATCATGAAGCTCCTGCAGTGATTCATTAGCATTAGCGTCCGGAGGAATGTAGACGACAGTGATGAAAGTCACCGTGAACTCTCGGGGTAGATAATGTGGCCAACATTTCACTGTTATTTGCTCCAAAGCCTTCAAGCATGAGCTATTTACAACAGTACAGTTCGTGGACCAACTTTTACTCACGTAAATGCATACTCCGCCTCCCCGTGATTTCCCCGTTAGCTCGCTGCAGCGGTCCGCTCGAAAAAAAAGTCTGTCATCCAGCTGGAAGACTGTGTCCGGCGTTTCGCTTGTAATCCACGTTTCCGTGAGGCAAAGCACCGCACACTTCTTCATCTCTTCTGAGTCGTCCGCTCTCAGACGAAGTAAATCCACCTTGTTGTCCAACGAGCAGACATTCGACAGAAAGAGAGACGGCATGGGGAGTTTATCGGCTTTAGCGTTAGCTCGTAGCCTCACCATAACCCCCGCCCGGCATCCTCTCCTCTTAAGCCGGGAGCAGCGCTTCCTCTTCTGCCCGCTGGAACGCCTCTGCTGCAGCTTCCAGGTTAAGATCTGCATTCGGCCGAGCGTAGTTTTGAGTTTGTTGCTGATTTCTGCTATATTTCGTGGCAAATCCGCTCCTATTCTCATCAGTTCGGTTCGACTATAGTTCACACGCATAAATCGCGTGGAGTCAGGCACAGAGTCAATATCAAAACTTCTAAAAACTGGGATGGTACCGGGAGCCTGTGAAGCTGCAACTGCTCTGAGCGCGGCCATCTTGGCATTGATATTATGGTTTAACATTTGACTCTAGTGCGCCCCCTGGATTATTCCAACAAATATATCTCAGTGAAATATCATCCAATATGTAACAGATTTACTGTGCATGATCAGTGAGCACTTCTAGACACATTGGTATTGTTCTTTAACATTTGACTATATTGCGCCCCCTAGATTATTCCAACAGTTATATCTCAGTTATACATCATCCAATCTGTACCAGATTTATTGTGCATGATCAGTTAACTATTCTTAACACATCGGTATTGATGTTTAACATTTCACTCCAGTGCACCCTCTATATTATTTCAACAGTTATCCATCCATCCATTTTCTTTACCCGTTTATTCCATTTTGGGTCACGGGGGTCGCCGGTGCCCATGTCCAGCAATCACTGTGCGAGGGGCGGGGTACACCCTGGACGGGTCGCAAGTCCATCACAGGGACACATAGAGACAAACAAGACAAACAACCATTCACTTTCTCACTCACACCTAGGGAAAATTTAGAGTTACCAATCAGCCTAACATGCATGTTTTTGGTCTGTGGGAGGAAACCGGAGCACCCGGAGAAAACCCACGCCTGCACGGAGAGAACATGCAAACTCCACCCAGAAAGGCCCCTGGACCGGGGTTTGAACCAAGGACCTGCTCGCTGAGAGGCAGCAGCTCTACCAGTTGCGCCACCGTGCTGCCCATTTCAACAATTATATTTCAGTGATGCATCATCTGATCTAGACCAGATTTTTTTGTGCTTCATCAGTGAGCACTTGTAGATACATTGGTATTGTTGATTCATGACTTAACTTAAGCCTGGCCCACTCAGAGAAGAAACTGATGGTTATTGGGTGTCACTTCCAGCTTGGCATTGTGTAAGATATAAGATAGAAACCGTATTCGATAACTGTTGAAATATGCATATGACATGTTGAAAAGCCTAAAGGAAGTCCTTTACAGTCTCGACAAAACAGGAAGTGACTAACTCCTGTCTGGAAGGTTGGATTTTAGCCAAACTTGTAAGGCTTTCAGCAGGACTCATACTGATATGGGTGGAAGGTGAATGCAAAGATTCGGCATAGGCACACCCTGGTGGACGCATGCAGCAATGGCATGAGAGCGTTCACCGTGGCGACTGGGAGGCGTTGCTGGAGTTCCCGCAGTCGCAGATGATGTTGAAGTTTCGGCAAATGCGCACCCTGGTGAACGAGTGCTCCCACTGTCGCCGTAAGGCCGGAGTGGCACTTTGCTGCGAGGGCCTTCAATGCTGCTTGCAGCTTTAATTCATTTTTGTTTTTTAGGTCAAAGTGTTTTATATAACACTCCTGAGTTAAAATGTTGCTGATCAATTTGAATTTATTATTATTTATTGATTATATTTTATTTTTCAGTATCAAATGGTCAAAAATATTTACAGTTTAAAAAATTTAAGTTTTTTTTTGTTTTCAAGCAAATTGATGCACTTTAAGTTGTTTCTGTTACAGACTAAAAAACAATGTTAATAAAGTTATTCTTTGTTGTACGTTGATCTATATTATTATTTTTTTTAAATTTAATGGTAATAAGGACACAATTTTATGCAGAGGTGTACTTATAACAATTTTATTGACAAATTATACTATTTACAGTCGCGGCGGAGAGTTGGGGGGCGCAAAATGTTTATGTCTTCCTGGGAGGGTGTAACAGAAAATAAATGAGAAGCACTGGCCTACATAGTTATGCAACTTTTTTTTATTTATAAATTCAAGGCTTTTCCAAACTCCAATTTAAAAATTCCCAGCTGATTTTGGGGCTTTTTCTTGTCATCTATCTTTTAAAGTTATGATTAAATTTACATTTTTCCAAACAACTTTAAAATTCAAGTGTTAATATGTACAATATGCTATGTTCCCACAATGTTATTTTGCCAAAGATTTAATAGATGATTGCTGTACTTGGTACTTTAGTTTACAAACACACACAAAAGCACAAAACGGTGAAAGAATTACCTAAGTATGAAGCTCCAAGGGAGTCTCTGGCTGTCTGGAAAAGGACTGGCTCATGAACTGAAGGTGTGGTCACATCCACAGTAGTCCAGGCCACGCTGTGTGAGGAGCCACATGCCACCCGAGTGATCTTCTGTCCCTCCAGACCCTGAACCAAGGTAGGTTTCCTGTTCACTGTGGTGGTGCCATTGCCCTGCTGCCCATGGTCATTGTCCCCCCATGCATACACCTTAGAAACACAGAGTAATAGTGACTTTTCATTCGGGTAGTTTGAAATAAAAACAGTCATCACTGTTAAGAAGCCTGGCAGGCTCAGAAGTGGAAACTTGAATAACGCTCCCACTTTTATAGGAGACCACATTTCTGTGACACAAACATGAGATGGAGAGATACAAAATGGCGAGTCTTCATCTGATCACATTTACCAGTCGGGAACTGACCCCCTGATAGATACTGCTTATGAGATCAGGCAGCATAAGAGGTCAGTCTCAAGTAAACCTGCTCCTGCTGGTCACAGGACTGAAGCTGTAAAATGTGGAAGTGGTCAGTTTCAGCCAATGAGAGGAGACCTGTTAAAGATAAATTGGACCGGAAGACATGGAGTCTGAAGAGAAGAATCATTATGCTTGTGTGTATGACTTGTGTGTGAGTGCAACTTTTTCTTTTTTCATAACCAGAGGAAGGAGGTGTCTGTAACCTTATCCTTTATGTAAAAATCATATGAATCTATGCAATTCTAGCTGGTGCTCTTTGCAGTGGTTGCTGGCCAATAGAGGGCGCAAGGGTGTCACCCCACCACTCACCACATTACCTTGAATAAGACATAAAAAAATTAAAGAAAAATGAAATATCCATCTATCCATCCATCCATCCATCCATCCATTATCTTCCGCTTATTCCGAAGTCAAGTCGCGGGGGCAGCAGCTTGAGCAGGGAGGCCCAGACATCTCTTTCCACAGCCACCTCTTCCAGCTCTTCTGGGAGGATTCCAAGGCGTTCCCAGGCCAATCGAGAGACATAGTCTCTCCAGCGTGTCCTGGGTCTTCCCTGGGGTGTCCTCCCAATTGGACATGCCTGAAGCACCTCTCTTGGGAGGCGCCCAGGGGCATCCTTGCCAGATGCCCGAACCTCCTCAACTGGCTCTTCTCGATGTGAAGGAGCAGTGGTTCTACTCCCGAGTCTATCCCGGATAACTGAACTTCTCACTCTATCTCTAAGGGAGAGTCCAGCTACTCTGCATGGAAAACACATTTCAACCGCCTGTATCCGCGATCTCATTCTTTCGGTCACTACCCAGAGCTCATGACCATAGGTGAGGGTAGGAATGTAAATCGACCGGTAAACATAGATCTTTGCCTTACAGCTCAACTCTCTCTTCATCACAACGGATCGGTACAGAGTCCGCAATACTGCAGATGCTATACCAATCCATCTGTCAATGTCACACTCCATTCTTCCCTCACTCATGAACAAAACCCTGAGATACTTGAACTCCTCCACTTGAGGCAGAACCTCACCCTCGACCTCAAGAAAGCAATCCACCCTTTTCCGGTTGAGAACCATGGCCTCAGATCAGGAGGTGCTGATTCTCATCCCAGCCAATTCACACTCGGCTGCAAACCGCTCCAGTGAGAGCTGAAGATCACGGCACGATGACGACAACAGGACCACATCATCTGCAAAGAGCAGAGATGGAATCCTGAGGCCATCGAACCGGAAACCCTTTGCCAGCTGGCTGCACCGAGAAATTCTGTCCATAAAAGTTATGAACAGAATCGGTGACAATGGGCAGCCCTGACAGAGTCCAACTCCCACCCTGAAGGGGTCCGACTTACTGCCGGCAATGCAAACCAAACTCTCGCTCCGCCTGTACAGGGACTGAACAGCCCATAACAACGGACCTCCAATCCCATACTCATGGAGCACCCCACACAGTGTATCCCAAGGAACACGGTTGAAGGCCTTCTCCAAGTCTACAAAACACATGTAGACTGGATGGGCAAACTCCCATGACCCCTCAAGGACCCTAGTGAGGGTAAAGAGCTGATCCAGTGTTCCACGGCCAGGACGGAACCCGCATGGTTCCTCCTGGATCTGAGGTTTGGCCAAGATGAGACTCGCTTCTCCAGTACCCCTGAATAGACCTTACCAGTGAGGCTAAGGAGAGTGATGCCCCTATAATTGGAGCACACCCTCTGGCCCCCCTTTTTGAAGAAGGGAACCACCACCCAAGTCTGCGAATCCAGTGGCACTGCTCCCGATGTCCATGCGACGTTGCAAAGTAGTGTCAGCCAAGACATCCCCACAACTAGGGGTGGGCGACATGGCTCAAATTTAATATTGTGATATCCTGATGCATGCTCAATAATCCAGGTAGAAAAATCTAAAAAAGTTAAATCTGGTCCTCTGGACATTCAAAAAAACAAAACAAAGCAAAACAACAAAAAAAAATGTAGAAACGTTTCGTCTTTCATCCGAAAGACTTCCTCAGTCTGGCGTGCTGTATTTTGTTCAGTCTTATAAATGGCACCTTCTTAGAGTGGATCAACCAGTTTTGCTGCTGACAACCAAAACCAGCTGCTCACATGATCAAAAAGGACCATCAGCCTAACGATGGATCATTAGCACACTGATGGCTGTTTACTATTCACAGAGGGCTAAGTGATACTAGCAATAACAGCATTGTAAGAGGGGGTAAGGTAAACGCCCCTTGTCTGTGAAGCTGCTCTGCAGCAGCTCAGGGTGTACGCTGGAGTACGAAGTCTGAACCCTCTGTGTACAGTACACGCGTACGTACGCATGAACGGACGTACGCGGGAGTACACTGTGGGCTTAAGAGACAGACCTGTGCGTGTTTGTACCGGCAGTTTAGAGTGGGGGAAACACAGCCCGCACTGGCAGCTCAGAGCTGAGTGGGGAGAAAAAAAAAAGACGAGTGTCAGCTTAGAGCGGGGGGAGGGAGAAACATTTGAGTTGTCTGTATCTGCAGTTTAGAGCTGGATGGAGAGACAGCTGAGCTGTGCGTCGTTTGTTTTTAGCTTTTTAGCAGGCTAGTATTGCGCGCAGCTAATTAGCATCACACCAGTACCAACAAGTGGAGGGGAGGTGCGCAGTTCGGTTTGGTCATTCGGCATGCTCGGTTCTGTTAAGGGGCGGGGCGCCCTGACGTATTAAATCATGAAATTAGCAAATCATGATATCATTTTTTTGTCAGAGCAAGATATTGTAGATGAACATATGCATGATATATATTCATAAATTAAACGGGTTCTTTCATTTTTCTGGACTGTATAATGTGCATTGAATTTAATAAAATGTGGACGGAAACGTTAATTATCTTTGACTCACCAACGACAGTGGGTCATTTATTTAAAAACGATTTAAACACATCACACATTTACATTAATTTGGCAAAATGATTTCAACAACAACATGACTAATTTAGCAAGCTGTACAATTTTGATTAACCATACGGCGATGGTTGAAAACCTTGCTTCCAGCTGTACAACAGACATTTCTAAAAATATCTGGAATGATTTCTAGCAGATAGAAGAATTTTAAAGATGGGAAATGAAGTTTAAGTTGAGAGAGATAAAGATGGACGAGGGAAATGTTTGTGTCGGCATCAGAACGGCACTCTCCGGTGAGTTCCCAGCTTCTTCCCCAGTACACTTAGGTGGTATAAATCAACTCTTTTACCTGGAGATGTCGTCTCCACGGGTACGGAGTTCCATTTAACACACCCTTTCAGCGTCTCCGTAGGAACAGCTGTGAATCGTCCGAAGTAGCGACGGTATTCCGTCCGACACGGTTCACCTCACGAGTGGACTTCACATGAGTGGAGTCCGTCAGAGTTCCACTCAGAGGTGGAAGATGTCATAATCCCACAATACTCGGAAGAGCTCTGGATCATGTCGGGATTTTCCTGTTTCCCAGCACTGGAGCTGCAACGACTGAAGCCGGAGCCTGAAGCGACTGGTTTGAACTAGGAAGTACCGACATTTAAAGGGCTCTATTTCCGGTTCATTTGGGAGTTTCCTGATTGGTCGTTTCGACCAGACAGGGGTGTGTTTTTGTGACGTAAGAGGTCACTAGGAGTCAGAAAAACAGCAAGAATGTTATGGAACAGATTGAAAATGTTTTTCAGACAGACGAGAGGAATATTTAGACGAGTTGGGGGAAAACAGGTGCCAGCCTCTATATTTACGTCTGAGAGGATTTTAAAAACATGACAGTTCGTTCCAACAACTTGTTTTGCATTTGACTCCAACCTTGGACCAACTTACACTTGCTCATTCAAAGACAGAAAATCAGAAAATGCATAATTACTCTGTAACAGACCTCAACATGATTTCCACTTTGCATGAGGATTAAAAATCAATATTACTGTTTCACAGTTAATTAAAAATGATTAGTTCACTGCAATCATCTAAAAATGGTTTGAACTAAAACACTTTGATTATCAAACATTTGTAAAATAGTAATGATAATAGAAAAGAGAGTGTTCTTTCACTTGATCAATTCAAGAAAGAAAGTCTCAGGATGGGTCAACCTGTATTTCTGGATTCAAATCAATGAAATGACAGTTTCTGTCCCATAAGGTCCTTAAGGTCAGGATTTGACCTCAGGCTTAGTTCACTACAATATTTTTGCCAGTATTATCGTGAACGATATGATATGGCCCAGCCCTACCCACAACATCAAGAGCCTTAAGGAAATCAGGGTGAATCTTATCCACTTCTGGAGCCCTGCCACCTCTGAGCTTATTAACTACCTCGGTGACCTCAGCCACAGTTATGGACGGATCAACCCCAAAGTCCCCCAACTCAACTTCCTACATGGAAGACGTACTGGTAGGATTGAGAAGGTCTGAAAAGTATTCCTTCCACCTCCTGACGACATCACTGGTTGAGGTCAAAAGTACCCTACCTTCACTGAACACTGTTAGTAAAGTGCTGCTTTCCCCTCTACAGTCGCCTGATGGTTTGTCAGAATCTCCTTGAAGCCAACTGGAAGTCTCTATCCAAGGTCTCACCGAATTCTTCCCACATCCGAGCTTTTGCCTCAGCAACAGCCAAGGCTGCAGGCCGCTTGGCCCTTCGGTACTCCTCAGCTTCCTCCAGAGTCCCACTGGCCAACAAGGCCCGACAGGACTCCTTCTTCAGATTGACAGCCTCCCTAACCCGGGGTGTCCACCACCGAGTTCATGGATGGCCACCACAAGAAGCA